GAGCTAAATAGGTGTTTAGCAATCATTTTAATCACGTGAAATTAATTTATTAATTGTAAACAATCATTATAATCACGTTTTTTCGCGTTTTCGCGTAAATCACGTTTAACGATCGTCAAAAATTAGGTAGCATTATAATAATAATAATTATTATTACTTTTATTATTATTTAATATTTAACATTATATCAAATAATTTAAAAAAATAAACAAAAATAAATTTTATTGCATTCAAATAAATTAAAAGAAAAAAATAAGAAAAGAAATGTACAAATCAATAAAACGTAATAATATAACCTATAACTATAATTATAATCATAACCATTATAACTTATAATTTATAATCATTTTAACAATCATTTCTATATTAGTTAGTGCAAACGATTTTAAATGTAATTTAGTTTAAAATATCTAATTTTTCGCTATTTCCAAAATTTTGCCATAAAAATTCGGTTAACAAATAATAAAGCTAATCAATCATATAAATCATAAAATCAATATAATAAAAAAAAAATAAAATAAAGTTAATATAAATAAAATTAATATAATAATCTTCGCCATACGATAATAGAGGGAAAGAAAGAGAAAATTTACCTCACGATTTGCGTTATGTTTTGCGATTGAATGATCGTTATCAGTATAGAATTGTAAACGGTAGTTATGAACAGATCCGAGAGTGAATTTATCAACTAAATTCGCCGTATTAAGAAAGTGAACTATAAAAAATAAAATCAAAATTAAAATAAATTAAAAATTGGATAAAATTAATAAAATCGAATGAGATTAATCCTATTTATAATTGTTGTTTTGTTTAAAATCTTTTAACTTATTAAAGAAATTGAAGCATTTTAGATTCCAGATAAAATAATTCTTACCATTGTCTAAAGGAATGAAATGAATGATGAATGAATGAATGAATTTTTTTATTAAATAGTAATAATTATAATAATTAGTAATAATAATAATTACCAACGTAAACAAAAATATACAAATGAATATAAATAATAAATAATAAACATAATATTATTTACCATCACCAGTTCCATGAACTAATAAGAATTGAGCATTAGAGAATCCAGTCATATTGGTTACAGCAGCCTTTTCATAACCATTAAAATTCAAGGCGGGTGTTTTCATATAACGTTCAGTGTAAATGGAATCATAAAATCTAGAATTATAAATAGAATTATAAATAGAAGAAACAATAAATGATAGAATAAATGAATAAATCAATGAATATAAATAATAAATAAAGAAGTAAGTAAATGATAATAGAATAAATAATAAATAATAATAGAAGAAATACCTCCAATCAGTTACAGGAGCTACGGCCATTCCAGCTTGGAATACTCCCGAATCAGCTTCAATAACTTTTGAAGTAAGAAAACCACCAAATGACCAACCCCAAATTGCAATTTTACTTGAATCAACATAAGGTAATTTTGCCCATAATTTAGCGGTATTAATGGAATCGATTGATTCATATTCACCCAAATGTTTTCTTACACAAACTCGAAATGTTCTTCCTAAATAACCGGTACCTCGAGTATCAACAGTTACCACAACAAATTTTAATTTCGAAGCTACATATAAATGCCAATCAAAAAAAAATTTCTTATTGACCAATTGAGAAGTGGGACCTCCATAAACATGAAATAGAACGGGATATTTTTCACGACCAGTTTCATCCATTCCTGGTGGTCTGACTTCCATAACATTTAGTTCTAAATATATATAATAAATAAATAATAAGTAAATGAATGAGTGTGTGTGAATGAGCTTCCAAATAAGTATATCGTTAAATAATATAGAACGATAAGAATGATAAGAGTTCTTACTATTTCCATCACTCTCTACAGTACTATATTTTATTGTAGGCATATCAATGGTTTTAATCAACGACTTCAATTTATTATTATCTTGTAAAGAAACCGAAAAGGCTAATTAATCCAATATCCAAATTAATATTAATAAAATAAATCAAATTAATAATAAAAAAAAGATTAATAATAAAAATTAATATGAAAATAATAAAATCAATCCAACAAAAATATTTATTAAAAAAAATACTTACAACTATTATCAACTTTTAATACTTTTTGCCAAGGAATTTCAGGACCTTCATATTTAATATTATAATATTTAGCACCTTTAGAAAATGAAACTTCATAATATCCCGCTTCATCAGTATTGGTTAATGCAGTTTTGGTAAGTCCATCAAATGATACTGAATATAAATGTCTTTCTATTGATGATTTTTCTGTACTCATGAAATATCTAAATTATTAATAATTAATTAATAATATGTTTATAATCATGGTGAATTAATAAAATAATAATAATAATAATAATAATAATAATAATAAAAAATAAATAAATAATAATTATAAATAATAATAATAAATAATAAATACTTACACAAGTTGAAGAGTATAATCAATAGCTTTTACACCACCAACAACTTCCCAATTACCACTGGTGAGATATCTCGGTGTAGCATTATTTAAAGGAGAGAAAATCGCGAGATGATTATATCCATTGTTGACAACTACATCAGCATATGAATCTTGTGTTATTCCTCCAGAATTATTTAAATAAACCATACTTCTGGTCTATTAATTAATTGATTATAATTATAAATTAGATATAATAATAAATATAAATTAAATATAATAATAAATATAAATTAGATATAATAATAAATATAATTTGATTATAATAATAAATATAATAAATATAAAATTAAATAATAATAATAACACCAAATAATAATAATAATAATAATAATAATAATAAATACTTACAATTTCAAACCAACCACCATCTCTTGTTTCAGCATTTTCTTCCCTTACAGTGACTCCACTACGATTATTAGCATCAACTAAAACAACTCTCGCAATATCTTGAACTCTATTCATCACTCTAACCAAAACATTATCATTACCCGCCCAACAAACTTCAGTTATTAATTTATCGGTGTCCCCAAAATCATTAGTAAATGGAATAGCAGCTGATTGTGATACCAATGGAGTGGATGTATCGTATATATGAAATGTTACAACCGGATTTGGATATCCTGGTTTTGGATATTTCATTATAACTTCTTTTGCATATGGTGTTGCCAAAAGTCCATTAAGATATAAAGGAAATCGGTATTCCGGAACTAATGATTCATTTAATCTTAAATAAGCAATTTGTGTCGAGTTAGGTGACCACCAAAATGCAAAATTATTAGCGAGAACTTCCTCTAATTATTTATAAATATATATGTATGCGCGTACGATAATAATCATTAATATTAATCATTAATATTAATCGTTAATAATAATAATAATAATAATAATAATAATAATAATAATAATAATAATAATAATAATAATAATAATAATTTATTATCATTAATAATTAATTAACAATACCTTCATAAATCCAATCAGGAACACCATTAAATACTACTGTTGATCCATCATAAGTTACACGTCTCTCTTCTTTTAAATCTACTGAAATATATAAATCATTATCTTTAACAAAAGCCTAATATAAAATAATATATTCATTAATTATTAAGATATAACATTTATACACTCATACTCTCATATATATTAACATATATTCATATATACTAGCATATACTCATATATACTAATATATAATATATGCACCCATACGCTCTTATATATTTATATATTTATTTACCAGACTGTGACCGACTGAACTCCATTTAGCTT